TCAGTTTGACTTTTTTTTTTTTCAAATCTGTTCTTATAAATAATTAAACCCCAAGCTTTTTGCCATTTGTCTAAATCTCAGTACATTTAGTCAGATCAGGTATTCCATCAAATTCCACCTTCCTAAGGAAATCTCTCCCAGTTTTCTGACCTGCCCCAATTAGGCATGTGATCCTCTACAGCTGGGGCACAGTTTATCACCCTGAACATGTACTTTCTTGTGTTTAGGTGAAGCACATCCTCCATTTTGTAAACTCCTTGCAAGTACGAAAATGTTCTGGCCAAATACAGAATTCTAGGTTGAAATCCTTTTCCTTTAGAATACTGAAGACAATGCCAGGCACGGTGGCTCATGCCTGTAATCCCAGCACTTTGGGAGGCCGAGGCAGGCGGACTGCTTGAGGTCAGAACTTTGAGACCAGCCCACCCAACATGGTGAAACCTGTCTCTACAAAAACTACAAAAATTAGCCGGGCGTGGTGGCGCATGCCTGTAATCCCAGCTACTCGGGAAGCTGAGGCAGGAGAATTGCTTGAACCTGGGAGGCGGAGGTTGCAGTGAGTTGAGATTGTGCCATTGCACTCCAGCCTAGAGAGGAATTCCATCTCAAAAAACAAAATAAAATAATCTCAGGCCGGGCATGGTGACTCGTCTGTAATCCCAGCACTTTGGGAGGTCAAGGCGGGAGGATCACCTGAGGTCAGGAGATCGAGACCAGCCTGGCCAACATGGAGAAACCCCCTCTACTAAAAATACAAAAATTATAAAATACAGAAATATTATCATGCATCACCCAATGCAGTAGCTACTGGCTACATGCAGCTAACTGTGCACTGAAATGTGGCTGGTACAAGTGAAGAACTAATTTTTTTTTTTTTTTTTTTTTTTGAGACAGAGTCCCCGCTCTTGTTGCTCAGGCTGGAGCGCAGTGGCGCAATCTTGGCTTACTGCAACCTCTGCCTCTCGGTTCAAGCGATTCTCATGCCTCAGCCTCCTCAGTAGCTGGAATTACAGACATGCACCACCACACCCGGCTAATTTTTGCATTTTTAGTAGAGACAGGGTTTTGCCATATAGGTCAGGCTGGTCGAAAACTCCTGACCTCAAGGGTGATCCATCCACCTCGGCCTCCAAAAGTGCTGGGATTACAGGGTGAGCCACCACGCCCAGCCAAAAACTGAATTTTTTAAATTTCATTTAATTTTAACAAACTTAAGTAGCCATGTGGCTGCCATACTGGACATTGCAGCTCTAGAGAAGATTCTTCCTCAAGTGAGTATCAGTGTTAAATATTCAGCATGTATTCCCCTAACCCGCCCATACTAAGCTTTTCTTTCTAGGATTCAGCACAACATAATCTGAACATCAGCCACCTGCATACTAGAGTCTCAATAAATGTCTTCTTGAATGTTCAAGTTAAGTGGTCATTTTCCGGGCCTACTCATAAAAATCAATCCCATCACCCTGGAGACCCCAAATCAGCCCAGCTGTCCTTTACACACCTGTTTTTCCCCTGCCCCATAATAATATCTTTTCACCTTAAAACATAACCACAACTGGGTGGAGGAAAAGGTTTTCCCAAGTCCTTCCTGAAGTACAAGGTACCCACAGGTAACACTCAAGGGTGACAAGACTCTTCCTGGGCAGGACACAGTTCTTTTCACTAACCCTGTATCTGATAACAACCAACATATATCAAGCCCTATTTTACCTCACTGAACCTTCACAACAACCTTTTAAGGTAAGTATTGTTTTAACCTCATTTTATAGATGCAAAGGCAGACTTGGCGGGGTTAAGTCACTTGTTTTGCATGTCACAGAAATCGACGAGCAGGAACTCAAGCCCAGATCTGCATGAATCCAAAGTCTACACTCAAAGAACATCTGCTGAATACAAAGTTTAACGAAGACTTGGCTTTGGCCCGGGGCTCACAGCGGAGGGGTTTGGAGAGAAGAAGCAGAGGCTCGGTAAAGTGAACTTTTGCAACTCCGGGGTCGGGCAAAGGCCCCGCCGAGCTCCAGCTGCCGAAGTCGAGAGGGGAACCCCGGACTCCTCGAGCTCGCGGTCTGCCTGCGCCGCCCCGGCCGGGCCAAGCCCGCAGCCGTGAGAGTCCGGCCTGAGACGGCCCCGAGACTACGCCCTCCACGGCCACCACCCCCAGCGCCCCTAAGCCGAGGAGCAAGAGCGGCCCCACCCGACGGCCACCGTCCGCACCCAGTCCCTGGCCCCGTTGGCCCCGCAGCCGCCCGCCTCACCTGCGTGTCCGCCGCCATCCTGCCGGGGCTGACTCCGGAACCGCTTCCGGAGCGCTTCCGGGTCACAGCGAGGCCCACGCGGCAGGGCGAGGCCGGTAGACAGCTGGGGCAGGGCCCCGGGCTTGGCGCCACCGGGCGGGACGGCGGCCGCTGCAGCCCGGGCAGCCGGATCACGGGCTTGAAGTTGGCCCGCGCCGGAGCCACAAGGCCTCCTCCCCAGGGCCCTCTCTTCAGCCCCAGGCGCCTCGTGGGAGACTAGCGCTTTTAACGTGGTGAGCCCGCGGTGTAACGCTATGAGCCCGCCTTGCAGCCCCTGACCCACTTCCAGCCCGCAGGGCCAGCCTTACATGGGCCTTTCCTGAGTGATGACTACGTTCTTTAGAAAAACAAGTGTTGCTTCCTAGATAGCAGGAACTAAAAACTAGGTAAAAGAGTCAGCGAACTAGTCTTTTGTCCTCAGTTTGTAGTTGACGGATGACTTGTACAGGGTTAGCAAACATGGGTAGATACGGAGATCAGGGAAGGTTCAGAACTGAAGGAGGCCCCTGCCCTGGGGAAATGCTGGATGCCCCAGGCTGGGAGTTTTGAGGCAGGAGGCTACTTGCAGATGTGGCTGCAATTTAGAGAATAGGGTCCTCACAGCTTAGTTGTCGGCCCTGTTAGCAGTGACTTTCAAACCTTTGACACAGACCTAGTTAGAATGAACATACCATGTTCCGGCAGACAGATCTGTAAGTGAAATACAGGAATCACAACAAAGCACCTGTTCTCAGCAGATGCTTTCTCTTTAAATACTGGGGCCAAGCATGGTGGCACACGCCTGTAATCCCAGCACTTTGGTAGGCTGAAGTGGGTGGATCAACCTGATGTCAGGATTTCCTGACCAGCCTTGTCAACAGGACTCTCTACTGTCTCTACTAAAATACAAAAAAAAAAAAAAAAAAAAGCCAGGTGCAGCGGCTCACCGGCTTGTAATCCCAGCACTTTGGGAGGCCGAGGCAGAGCGCGGATCACCAAGATTTAGGAGTTCAAAAGACCAGCCTGGCCCAACATAGTGGAAACCCTGTCTCTACTAAAAATACAAAAATTAGCCAGGTTGTGATGGCACATGCCCCTGTAGTCCCACCTACTTGGGAGCTGAGTGGGTGGGAGAACAGCTTGAACCTAGGAGGCAGAGGTTGCAGTGAGCTGAGACCACCATTGTGCTCCAGCCTGGGTGACAGAGTGAGACTGTCTCAAAAAAAAAAAAAACAAAAAAAAAAAAAAAATTTGCCAGGGCCGGGCGCGGTGGCTCAAGCCCTGTAATCCCAGCACTTTGGGAGCCGAGACGGGCGGATCACGATGGGTCAGGAAATCGGAGACCATCCTGCCGCTAACACGTGGAAACCCCGTCCTCTTTACTAAAAATACACAAAAAAAATAGCTGGGGCATGGGTTGGAGCCGCCTGTAGATAACCCACAGCTAACTCCCGGGAGCTGGAGGCAGGAGAAATGAGTGTGGAACCCCGGAAGGACAAAGGACTTGGCAGTGGGGCTGAGGATCCAGCCACCCGGCACTCCAGCCCGGGCAACAGAGCGAGACTCCGTCTCAAAAAAAAAAAAAAATTTGCCAGGTATGGTGGCAGCTGCCTGTGGTAATTCCAGCGTCTTGGGAGGCTGAAGCAGGAGAATCGCTTGAACCCAGGAGGCGGAGGTTGCATTGAGTGAAGACCAAGCCACTGCACCCCAGTCTGGGCAACAGGGTGAGACTGTCTCAAAAATACAAACTGTTCACCACCTACTAATGAGTTGGAGCACCATCCAGTTTGAAAAACTGCTCTATGGGACTGGCCCTAGCATCCACCAGGTGCCTATCTCAGCTGGCACTAAACCTACTCTACTGCAGTGGCCATGGAAATAGCAATTCTAGTGTAATACAGTTACAACTGTGTCTAGAAAACCATACAGGATGTTTGACCGGTAGCTTCATTTAGATACAAAGAGGTTACCCAAACATCAACACCTAAATACAAAGCTCTATGGTTTCACCATGGCTTTGGTTTCTAGCATATGGCACTATAAAGCCTCAAAATTAAGGGCTAGGCACACGATGGCTCAAGCCTATAATCCTAGCACTTTGGGAGGCTGAGGCGGGAGGATTCCTTGAAGCCAGGAATGAGACCAGCTTGTGCAACATCTCCACAAAATTAGTAGCTGAGCGTCATGGTGTGTGCCTGTAGTCCCAGCTACTTGGAAGGCTGAGATAGGAGGATCCCTTGACCCCAAGAGTTCGAGGGTACAGTGAGTTGTAGTTACACCACCACACTCCAGCCTGGGCAACAGCCAGACCCTGTATCAAAAAGGAAAAAAAAAAATACAAAATTAAGAGTCCAGAGACTTTTTAAAGAAGTAAGCCTTTATTTCCTTGTTTTGCAAATAAAGCTGGCTAAGTTGGTTGCTTTTTGGTGATTAGTCAAAGAGACCAAATCCCATATCCTCGTCCGACTCCTCCGACTCTTCCTTGGCTTCAACCTTAGCTGGGGCTGCAGCAGCAGCAGCAGGAGCAGCTGTGGTGGCGGCAGCCACAGGGGCAGCAGCCACAAAGGCAGATGGATCAGCCAAGAAGGCCTTGACCTGAAGGGAGGGAGAAGTGGTCAAAATGGTCATCCACACTCTGCTACTACCCACCCTCCTGCCATGGTAGAGTTTAAGGAGCAACAATATCACAGTTAGTGTGAAGCCTTGCCTGTCACAAGTGGCCCAAGCAGGACAGCTTGGGTATGGCCTAGTGAGGGGGGAATCCTAAGGCCCAGCTCTTGCCCATTAACCCCCTTTGGGTCTCTTGTCATTTCTCAAGTGAGAAACGCCTTCCCTGCCCCCCAACTTCTCAAATATCCTCACAAAATTATCTGCTATATAAAATACAACTGTAAAGGCACTTTAGGCCACCATATGTCACCCTAATTTGTCACAGTCAGGCCCACTGTGGTCCTGGTGGGATCCTTTTACCTTTTCAGCAAGTGGGAAGGTGTAATCCGTCTCCACAGACAAGGCCAGGACTCGTTTGTACCCGTTGATGATAGAATGGGGTACTGATGCAAC